TTGTATCAAATAATTTTTCAGCCTGCCTGGTAACGATGGTATTTACACCATACTGATTGTCCTGACCAGGCAGCAAAGACATTATGCCACACAATAAAGTGTCTGTTTTCTTCTAATTATTTCCCCCTTCTAAACAATAGAATAACACATTAACATAAATTTTATAAAATGATGGCAAAGCCCAAATATTTACATGCAAGGAAATACACATGCTTAAATAATGCAGATTTGTTCCTCATTATAAAATTATGAAAAAATCAGACTATGAGGACATCAGTTTCATCATTTAAAATCAGTGTTCAACCCCTGCATGAATATATCTCTGTAGCTCAATTCTTCATTTGAAAAAAAGAAAAAAAAACAGCTTGCCTCATGGAAGTACAGTGAGATAAATCCAAATACTGTGATGATAAGTACAATAAGTAAGAAAAACAAGAGAATATTACAGTTTTCATTCTGAGTGCAATAAACATGTAATAAGGCTTAATAAAAATACAGTGTACATGCTTAATAGAGTCAAAATGCAGCGTTGAACAGGGACTTGCTAAGTGACGGTTGTCCATTTTCTGTCCTGAATGAGGGACAGGGCTGGTGGCAAATGTAGTGTATATGTTAATGGTTGTGTTACAGCAAATAAATTAATGTAGTTCAAACAAGGATTACTTAGGAATCTGCTAATTTTGAATATTTAATTTGGCAATCTTAACACATGCAATAGTACTTATTTTGCGTACATTAGCACATAAGAATGGAATAGCATTCTTAAAAAGCCTACCATTAATAATAATAGTAATAAAAATCTAGGATCATGCTAATAAACTCTAATCTTTCTACATGTCTGTGATGCTTTTAGGAAATGTTGGGTTTAGAGGCGTTTTATTTTCTGCTCTGCATTGTGAATCTGATGTCATTTAAATATATAAGAGCCCTATTGTTCTGTCATTTATGCCCCATGCATTTCTGCTTTTAGCATGATTAAACAAAAGAGACACATACCAAAGCTTTCTCGTTTGAATAATGCAACATCAATATTTTACATCTTGGGCTGCATTTCAATTTTTTCCTTAGCAAGGTGAACATTTGAAAAGGAAGTAACCATTGCATGTAAAAGCGTCAATTAAGTTACAGTCTCCTCTTTTCCAAAAGAGATACATGTCTCAAAAAATATGTGTTACTGAGTAGTTGTCATTTTGTCATAAACCAGTTCTCCACTTGATTTTATTATTCTCTTGTAACATAAAGTAAGTAATAATGTATTTACATAGCAATTCCTTTCTAAATGCTTTCTGTATACATCTTTGATAGTGCTTTTACCTCCAGTGAGGAACAGCAGTACATTGTACAGATGTGCCTAAGAGACTCAAGAGTACATTTCTGGGGAATATGGGAGTTCAGTTGCAATTTACACAAAACACAGAGTGTATTTCTTCATGTTGAGTTGGACTGGGCTGTAGAGATAAGAGCTTCTGGTTCATCAGTCTCTAGGAGTTGATACGCCTTGGATCTTCAATAATGCTTCCATGGATCCAGCTCCCCAGAAGAATTACCTGCAGCTGAATCTGCAACTGCAATTGCTTCACTTTCATGACACTGAAAGTTCTGTGACATTATGTGCATCCAAAAAAAACAAAATGCTTAGAGCTATGTGCTGGTTTTTTTGCACTGGAGCCGACATATCCTTATATCAGATTCATGAGCTGATGGCTGTTTAGCAGTAATTCAAAAAGAGTTTCAAGGAAATTAAATGTGTTGTGGTTTAAGAAAAAAAAAAAAAAAATTAAAGAAAAGAAAATCTTCGTGAATACTAGGCCAATCTCACAAGTACAATCAGAGCCAGTCTGGATTCCCTTTGAGAAATTCCATCAATTCCTGCCAGACGCATACCTTTCTGTATGCATAACAGTACCTGAAAGGACGTGCCCTATAATATAACATTCTGCCATTGTTTTTCCTCAAAAACCTACAACACTACAGCCTGCAATCAGCAGATTAGGTGCTTAATGCCACGGCATTAAATGACACATCTCACATCTTTACACCCTGACTTGAAAACAAGTAATCCTCTTGTTAAGTTTCCCCTCTCTCAACATTACATTTTTACACCTGCTCTCATCTAGGATAATGAAATATTTCTGCATGTTGGACCATTTCTTTAATTTGCTCTAGTAGTTTTTGTGGAAAGTTTACCATCATTTCCAACAGTCTTTTGAAAGTAAGGACTATGACAAACTCAGCTAAATGATAAGTAGATGCTTGTTTATCAAAGTAAAAATAAAAAAGCAAAACTCGTAAAATGACAATATTGCTTATAGAGACAAAAAATTTACATCTTTTGGCTAATAACATGGTAATTGCAGTGATTCATTCCTACCTCTGTCATACAGCTGATAAAATTTTGGAATTGAAGAATCTCATTATTTAGTATTTGTCATCTCATGTTTGGTAACTAATACTTAGTACTGAGTATTTAGGTTGCGTTAGACAAGTTTTTCCTTAATGCTAGAGTGGATAAAACTGATTTCTGGCATATAAAATTCAACTGGCATAGACTTCAGTAGGAATTGCTTTTTGCAAGAATCCGTGAGCATAATTTAGTGCAAGTATGAAATGTCTAAAGGTAAAAAAATGCAGACTTTAAAGATATTCAAAGCATGCATTTCAGTTTAGAACAGAGTGTGGTAGGATTATAGGACATATTTAATAACTTTTTAGAAAGGTTCATAGAATACCATAAAGACCTATGAAATTCCTTTTCATTGTCCAAGATTAACCTTGTTTTTTTTTTCTTACATATTGTCTGTAATTAACAGACAAATACAGAAATATAAAATATATGTAACTATAACTTGTCAAATACATCCACTTCTTATTGCTTACCTGTCATGAGGCATTATCTCGATAAATACACATATGTACCAAAGACTGTATTTTATTACAGTTCATTCTATTGTCAAAGTCTTTTGCATTACACAGTCAGAAATCCTTGAAGTTAAATGTCCAGTCTTTTGAAACTTAGAATAAAAGATGTTTAATACTTTTCCATTTGTTGAAGTGTTTTAACACCTCTCATATTACTCAGAGGAATGAATTGCTTGAGAATGAGGTTAATACTCTACAAAAGCCTGCTTTTAAAAACCCTATAAGAGGGGTCAAAGACCAGGAAATGCTCTCACTATAATTCTCATTTTCAGCTGAATTGGCTATGGCAACTGCACTAAGAATACAAGTTTGAATTTCAATATGTTCCAGAAACCTGTAACTTTGCATTATAATGATTCATGCAATAACAGAAGGGAACTGCAAACATTTTTGATGTAGCTTAGTTTAATTTATAATTTAATAAAGCAGTATTTTAAGTTAAAAGTAGTAACTTTCAAATACAATAAAAAAAATGTTCATTTGATAGCTACTAAATGCATCCCTTTACATTTTACCTGTAGAATGCTCTACAGGTATGTGTTTGGTGACAGGTTAAATGTATACTATACACAGGGAGCCAACATTTGTCTTTGTAATACCGCAGCAGCCATGGCAATTTTACTGCATTCTTATTATTTTAAGCCGTCTCCATTGTCTCCTAAAGACCATAATTAGAAGCTGAAAACTTAAAGCAACCAAACTCAATAAGCTCCCATTATGAACAAAATATTCTACTGTTGCTCAACAAGTGACCATATGTAGCCCAACACGATAATGTATTTTTCCTTAATTATGTCTCTAAAGATCCAATATTGAGTCAGTTCTCAAACAAAGCCTTCATTAATTGCAATGGAAGTTTTGTTTGAGTAATGCTACAGTACGGCTTTTTAGGTACTTCCATGTGTTTAGCCATAATTATTCTCTAAATGCTTCTTATATTAAGGTTTTTTTGTTGTTGTCATTGTTATGATGGCTTTCAAGAATACAGTTTATTTTCTGGGGAAATGATCAGTGAGTCCCCATTCAGTTAAGAATGTTGACTTACAGACAGTTAAAGCAACTCACTGTAGAACAGGAATATAATGCTCCGGAGTAGGATGAGAATGAAACAGTAACTTATGAATAAGTAGTTCTGGCTTGGAGACCTGTGTCAGAACACTAAGACTTCCTAAGTGCATTTGTAGTATTTTTGGTAGTGCTATGGGTGGACTCATTTATACACCTACTTTTAGCAGAATCAAGATGTCACATACTTTGTACATTACAAGGTACACTACAGGGAGTCTTCAAACTCTGATCTTTTCCCCCAGGAAAGTTATGTAAGCATGACTCCCCAGCTTCTCCTCTAACTATAGTTCAGAATCACCTTTCAAAATTTCCAGTTTAATGCAATGCTCAGAAACATTCATCTGGCTGGAACATTCCCAGGATCTTGCAGCTGGTCTGCAGCAACCTATTATCCCAGCCAGAAAAATGACAACGAGAGAAAGAGAAGTCAATTTCACCCAGAAATGCTGCAAACAAGTTATATGTTTGCTAAGATTAGCTGGGATTTGTAACAGGTGCACAGTGCATGCAATAGAAAGCAGCTTTGGTTGGATATGCAGAGGTGGGATGGGATGAAAGTGTGATGCAAAAAACGTTCTCTTCATTCCATGTTGCTGGGGAGTGATTTTAGTCTCCAAACAGTCGCTCCTAGTCACATAATTTGCTGAGAAACCTTTTGACTTTTTTATGTTTTGATTTTTTTAATTGCTTTTTTGGACTTGGTAGCGTTAGTTTGATGATTGGACTTGATGGTTTTAAGGGTCTTTTCTAACCTAAGCAATTCAGTGATTGTATGAGAATATATATCCAATCAGCACAGCCTTCCTCACAGCTTTCAGATCACACCATAATGGTTATGCAAGCTGTTTGCATGCTCAGAGCTGAAGGAGCCACCTGTGGTCAACATTTTCATCAGAGGAGGCCTCTATTGGAGGGACAGCAGGTGGAAGCAGCAAATTGGAGGGAGCCACACAGCCCTGGTCAGGTGTTCCCTCTTAAGGACTCTGGTTCCTGCTCCTTGAGATGTGGGCTCATAGAATATCCTGATGGTAGAACGCAAAAAGGGAACGTGTCAACCTCACGTATGCAGCTGATTCTCTCAATCTGGTAAATTTGATAGGCCAAAAGCAGAACAGGTAGTACCTTTAAGCTTCCCACATACAAGTGCCAGATAGTTCCTGCTGCTCTTATTTGGAGATATTAAAATTGTTTAGGGAAAGTGCTTACAACCACTGAGTCTCTTCCAAAAACTGGTGACAAGTACAGAGAGGTATGTATTTGGTGGGTGTTGTGTTGTGATTTTTTTTTTTTTAGGAAGTCTGAGGTTTATAGCAGCTTGACAGAAATTGCATCTAGGGAATCAAGCAGTCTGAAAGCATCCTACCTGAGATATTTCTCTCTCTATCTAGGGGGCTTTTATGCAGTCTTAGAGATGTTTCCTGCTTAGACAGAGATGATTTCTGGCTAGATGCTCTTCAGCAGAGCCTCCTGTCGCTCAGTAGACTTCTGTTGTGGTGCAGCTTGATTTTTTTTTTCTGCTCTAATACAGCACGGGAAAGGTTGATTCCCCAGTTTTTGTGGGGATGGATCTAATGGCCAGTGCAGGAAAAAAACTTGCTTGTATTCAGATTATCACCGGCCTGGGAGAACTAGCTAAGATTTACATTTGGCTTGCTTATGTCAAAAATGAGTTAGTACTTCAGAGCCTGGGAATAGATATTTTTATTATGATACAATAAATTCCGTTAATGTAAATATTACTTAAAATTGCATTAATACAATGTTCTTCTTGGAGATTTGTAGAAAGAATTGGCAGACATCACCAGATCTAGAGGCACTCTGTTTTTAATTTATCAAAGCACGTATAAATTGTGTGCTTTCCATTTTCATTGTGAAGATTTTTCACAAAATTGAGCTGTATGTTTCTTTCAGTTTTTCCTTCTAAATACCTTTATTCCTTCAAAATATAAGAGAAAGGGACGTGATAAAATTGATGATAGTGCTTTCTTCTCTTTGACTTGGTTCCTCAGAATGTAAGGGAGAATGCTAACACATCATGAGTGCACATGAAACTGTGAGAGAGGGTCACCAAACACAGTAACTTAGCATTTTCTGTAGGGAGACTGTGAGTAGATGTATCTAATGGGTTTCTGATTTGCAACCATTCTCTGGCCTCATTGTGTTTGTTAACACTGGAGAATAAAAAAAAAAAAAAAAAAAAAGTAGCGGGAGAATCAAAGGCAGAATAAGTGAATTGCTGTATTCTGTAAAGTGAATTCTAGAAGCCCGATGTTGTAAATGTTCAGAGTTTGGAGCAGCCTTTGAAGTGACATGGAATGTGTATGATACCTGCCTATTCATTTAGCTACTGATAAGGTCCTAATTAGCACAGCACTCAGAGCACCTCCCTTATGGTGAGGTATAGAAATAACCATGTCTTCTACTTCCTTCCTTCCTTCGCAGCTGTTAGAGAAGCAGCTTTCAAGTTTTGTATGTTTTGTCAGTACGTGTTTGGTGTATTTGTAAATAACTTGATAGTCAAAAATGGTCTCAGTAAGAAATTCAGCTTTTATTCCTGAGAAGCAGTGAATTCAGCAGTCATTTAAGACACTCAAGAGAGTGAGCTCTGCAGCTGTAGGTCAGGCAGGTAGCAAACCCTGGCCTTGAGCTTCCACTCTTCTGTCAGAGTGAGTCCCAGTAGTTCTCCTTCTGCCATGTGGGATCAGGTCCCCTGGAAAGTGCTTCAGTGGAAATGTTCCACAGCACAGGAGAAATGCCTCTTGAAAGCAAAACTCCAGGATCAGGCCCTTCAATTTTAAAAATGACACTTAATATGGACAGACAAAGGCATAGGAGAAGAACACACTGACTCTCTGTACACCTGGAGGAGGGATAGTAGTACAAAACAAGCTTTTCTTTAACCACAACGGCAATCTTCTAACAGCAGCAAACACTCAAAAGCACAGAATTCAGAGGTTGATAATCATCTTTCAGTTCAGGTTATTGCATGCAATTTTTCACATTCATTCAGTTTTCTTCATACAGCTCTTAGTAAAGTAACTCCCTTAACAATAAAAGCTTTTATGGCAGCCCATTACACTTGAGAACTAACCACTCCTAGTTTTTTTTATTGGCTTCTTGGAATATTTATAGCAGCCTTTGTTCTCTTTGCAAGCTTATGCATTTGGGTGTGTATGGAGATTTTTCTTTTTCTTTGGCAATTGAGTATGATGGTGAAGTACATATATTTTTACATCTGTAAGGTTTTAAAGTTTTATGTTTGTTTTCCTCTGTATATTATTATTGGCACCAAAGTGAACGTTCATCCTGCTCTCACTGTTTTGTACTTGAGTATTCACTGCTGGAGAGTTCTCATTCCAAGCTGCCCAACAAAAAGCACGATTTGCCACCATGCTACCTCTTCCTGATGAACTGGTTAGACTTTGTACACAGAGATGTCTTGATATCTGGCTCCACACTAACAAAGCAAAGAATTTGCTTAGTTTCTAAAGGTACAGCTTAAATTTCCATGTCAAGAATTTGATAGAAAACTCCTACATTAACACAGCCGCTTTGCATTCTTGTAGGAATTAGCTGAACACTCACTGGAACTATTGCGATGACTTATCTTTGCATGTCACATAAGATCCAAAACAGTCCTAAAACTTTTAATACAGCTAATCTAAGAAGAAAAAATGCCTCCAAATGGGAATCTGCTTTTGAATACCTCTGCCTTGACTTTTGAAATTGTTCATTGAATTTTGTGTTCTCTTCTTTACAAACAACCTGCTGTTCACACCACGTTTACAAAATTTACACTGAATATTTTAATAGATGGAGGAATTTAAGATATAGGTATGACTTTCCTTATTGTCCTGCATAACAAGAAGAAACTGTACAAATGGTAGTGATGGAACAGTTAAAAGGAGAATTATTTTACTATCTACAGTTTAGAAAATCTTTCTAATAAGGATTAAGGCAAAACAAATGATAAACAACAGTAGTAATTCCTGAGTTTATAAGAAACATCCATATTGAATAAATAATAAGTAAATTAAACTATTCCTTTCCTTTAGACAATAAAGACTAGAAAGCTATGCATTATTAAAGAAAAATAAATATACAAATTTTATCTTTGAAATGATAATACAATGAAATGGATTTGTAACGTTCAAAATAAACACAGGAGTGTAATAATAAACACATTTTTTTTCCATGGCATCTCTCATAGAGAAGCACTTTCTTGGGTCTTTTCTGCTGGAATATCTCTAAGTAAGTGAAATCATGATTTTTACTAATAATACCAAGCTAGTTTGGTACTGTTACACATAAGCTACTTTTTGCCACAGGTCAACTTCTTTAAGGGTTTTATCAGGTAGTAACCCCTCCCTGGTGTGAGACTATAAAAAATATCTCATCACACTGTAGATCAGTCTGTTTTCCTTAATAGGACAATAGTGATTACATTGTTATCACTAAGTTTGGATTAGAAAATGCCCCACTGGGAGCACTCAGTGCAGTCCTCCTCTCACCTAGAGATGAAGCCTACATACCACTTCTTTGGCTCTTTCTCTTTGTTGCTTTTTTTCCCAGGAAGGGATGTCAGCCTTTCAAGAGATGGTTTTCACCTCCTGTGTGGTTCAGGAGAGCCTTGCTCTGCCCTGGCCATGTGGTCACAGCTGGTGGCTGCTTCCTGGTGTGAGGCCAACACTGATACCCATTTTCTGTTCCTTTGCCATGGTGCTGGCACCAGAAATACAATGGGAAGGGACTCTGAACACCAAACAGGGGCTGACTACAATTAAATTTTCCAGCAGAGATGGAATCCAGAAAAAAATGATGTGAGCAGTTACCAAGTGCCTTCGCTGATTTAACTTCATCCTCCAGAAGTTCATGTCTTCTTGGTAAGCTTCTTGTCCCTGTATAAAGACACAAAACACTTAGTGGCCAATCCAACATCAGCATCATGGGACAGCAGCCATACATCAAAGAGGACACAGTGTGAAAGTAGCTTTGGTGGCATAAATCACCTTTCTGTGGCAATAAACTGGAGTGATGGGCTTTTGTTTCCTCATCTCAAGTTTTGTTTGCAAACTACAACTGGTTCCTGTTTTGTTTTGTTTTGTTTTCCAGGTAATTGGAGTGTCTGATGTGCAGTATCTGTGTCACTGTGTTCCGCTAGAGGGAACAGCTGTGATGTGTGGGGGAAAAGAAACCATGAAAAGCCCACAGGGATCTCTCCCATAGCATCCTGACCCTGCTCTGCTCCAGTAAACATGGGAGACCTCATGCCATTGCACAGAGAGATGACAGAATCCACTGAAAGCAATCTGCCAATTACATCTTACAGGAGTGTGGTAATGTGACACATTGCATTTGAGGAGTCAGCACCTGTGAGGAGAAGAAAAGATGTCAGCAGGTTGTAGCTAATAATGAAAGAACACAAAGCAGAAAGAAGGGAAAGCTGTTTCTTGTCTGAACATATACCGTGTTATGTTAGGTCCTTGGTCCTAATGTTTAAGTTCTTTATTATATCAGTCTCCAGTTGTGCTTACTTGCAACAGTACAGTTCAGAACACAAGAAACAAGCCATTTTTTAAGGACTAAAGACAAAACATCGAAATTACTTGATGACTTTAGGGAAAGATGAGTCTAGGAAGACTTGCCACCATAACCAAATTGAGGAGGGATAGTGAAAGTTAAATAATGGTAGATGAATTGTCTTACTTGGACTTTCCCATTAGCAGGATTGAGTGGAAATGACCTTTGTGGACAAGTCACAAGGGCTCCTTGAAGCCCTTTAGTATCACTCATCTGATGTATGCTATGCAGAAAGTGTATGGATTCTGTGGTGACAGTAGTTGCAAAGAGTTGCTGTGAAACTCAAACCAGATATCAGAAAAGACAGTTTTGTTGGCAATAACAACAGATCCCTTAACCCAACGTACTTTTTCACTACTCTGAAAAAAGCCCTACAAACAAAATCTTAGTCTGGATATCAGCACGGAGATTAACCACAAGTTTTTTTGAGCTGCCATTGCATTGCTTTTTATGATTTAACCAAACATTTCTAAAAGAGCTGTGAATCTGTGTCTGAACTAAAATTCCTAGAAATTCAGAAAGCTGGTATAGAGTCAAATTTGGTAAGCACTGGAAAATGTTTCAAATTATACTCTAAATATTATTTATATGTATTTGTAGGCTTATGCACAATAAACATGAAAGTAATTGCTAAATAAAATTTTGTTTTTTCAGTTGTTTTTAATTTTCATTGTGCCATAGCTTTTTTTAAATTGAAATATAGAGAAATTTTTTCAAGAATCGATACTGAGCTTGTTTGAAATTATTTTCTGACAGCAAGAGAAGTCAACATATTAGGAGTCGAGTTACAAGGAATTAGGTGAACACACAATCTTTCAAGATTTTAAAACATGAGGTATAAATACTGTTGCTTTCCCAGTAAATAGCAATCATACGGATAAAATGGGAATGAGCCGTAAAAATAAATAAATAAAGAGAGAATCTATTCAGCAGAAATCCTGGGAACTTTAATGTTGCAGAACACTGTTGGATCGCTTCAGTTTTGCAGGCACTTTATCTTGGCTGAAAGGTGAAATTAACAGCTTTCTGAAAGCCCTGGGAAGCCATTGTGTCAATGCCACATGCTACAGACCACTGTTTGATTCTAGTGCCACTGGTTTAGATGAGCACTGCAATCAGGAGTATTAAAAGTCAGTTCATGAATTGTGTTGCATGAGGCAACAGAGCTGCTTACAAACAAAAGAACTGACTGGGATTTTATAGATGTCTATATGAATATAGGAGTGTTAAATATACCAAATAATATAGCTGAATTCAGCAAAATTAAAGTAACCAGGCTGGAAAGGAAACTGGAGAGAGATAGGAGAGGGCAACTGAATAAAATATTAATTTATATATGTAAAATTCCAACAATGTTGGACAACCTTCTCAGATACTAACGCTCTGAGGAATAACACATTAATGTCTGTCAGATGCTAATACTCATAGTTTTCTCCACTTACGCATGATACACTGTTTAGTTCTGAATCTGTCAAGATATTGCTTGAATTTGGGGAGTTGTGTACCTCACCACTCTTTTTAACTAGGTAAAAGACAGATGGTAATTTACACTGTGGTCACTGTGTTTTCTGTTCTTTTCCTCTCTTTTTTCTCTCTTCCTTTTTCTCTTCCTTTCTTTTTATTGCATCTTCGGAAAATATATAATCGTGGATCAGTCTATGACCTTTGTTGCATCGTGTTTGTATAAAGGAACTTTGCTTATGGTGATAGTTCTGTTGTTTAGGTGGATTATAACTTTCACTTTTTTTTTTTTTTTTTTTCCTGACATCTGACAGCTGAAAGCATTTTGTGTATACCAGTTGAAAAGTCTATGTTGGAATAATTACATTTTTTGCTACAGTGTAGAAGCATAGAGGTATCATATTCTAAAGATCATTACCTGAAATGATGAGAAATTAAATAATCTTTCTGCTATGTGATGAGGTTTATGAGAATATCCCTAGACGATTCATTAGTTTTAAACTGACACAAAAATCAATTAATTTTAATAGCAAATAACAGATAATGTGTTTAATAATTCATCTAATTTCATGAGGCAAAGTGAATTAGACAATGCAATGTAAATCTAATAGCAGTTGTAACCACATAATTTGACTGTTTGTCAAGAGCAAAGCATAGTGAAATGATCAAGAATTACACAGAGAGAAAAACACTAATTGTGTGTAAACTGAGTGACAGTTTCTTGTAACCCTAAAAGCCTGTGAGTTCAGTGTAATTATTTCTATTAGATCTTTCCCCAAAATTGTCCTGCATCATTAATTATGTATTCATACCAAGCCAGGAAATTAATAAATAATACAAAATAACTTTCCCATGCTTTTAATTTAGAGATACTACTCAATCACTGGAGATTTTAAGGAGTGAAACTGTGTGAAATTTGCTCTATAGTCCGCATTAATTAAATAATGAGCCTAAAAGCAGACATTTTCTGCCCACTAGTGATCAGCTGGAAGAGTTGAGGACCTGGCATAGAGCAGAGGGCCCTTTACCCTAGTGGTCATTATTGCTGGGGAAATGCCCAACCTCTGGGCCACCACTGCTACTAATTGAAGCTGTGATAATTGTTGTTTCGCTATGCACTGAGAATGAACAAGAGCTCCCCATCTGAATGGCATATATTTCGGACTAAGGAAAGCAAAAAAAAAAAATAAATAAATAAAAGGAAAGAACATAAGTAAAGTTATACAGGGCTGGTCAAGGTGCATCCCACACAGCATCTGCCTTGCCCAGCAAAATGGAAGCTGCCAGCAATGATCTGCTAGAAATGTGTCAAGCACCAGCGGCAGGATCACAGAAGCCACATGACCATAGGAAAGCAAAAACATTAGATAAAGTGTTTGAGCGTTGTATGTTTGAAAATATACATGATGAAATATGTGTTGCTATGGATACAGGTCTCTCTTTAGAACACTGGTCTCTGCTTCACATGGTAGTAATCTACAGAATCAAAGAGCATCACTTTTCTGTGTGTTAACAAGAAGAAAGAAAGAAAAAAAAAAACAACAGGAAGACCCAAAGTCCTTCTCTTTCTATAAATAAACAAAATAAAATTGAGAGGATTCATAGCACTGAAGGCAGTTTTTGTTGGTCTTGTTAGTGGCAGAGAATGTGCATAACTTATAGAAAGCATGCTTCTTCCCATCCCTTTTGCAGCAGTTGGGACTGAAGGCACAACCCAGCATAGGAAATGATGCAGGAGTCAGAACAGGATGTGAAAATCAATGCTATCTATTACAGAGGCACAAAAGATATCAATTGTCTACATACTCTATCCTGAGCAGTGAAAAACTTCACCTTAACTTTGTAACTTTTGTATGTTGAACAGAAGGTTTGAAGAAGATCTGGACATCAACTTGCAATTGCAAATCCATGCAGAGCTGGAAGATCTTCCTTGAAGCTCCTCATATCTCTTGTGAGTCCTCTCTTCCCCATAACTTCCCCTTGCTCCAGTCTATGACCACTCTTGTTCCAGCAGCACTGCCTTCTGCCTATGTAGGAAAGAGGGGTGTTTGCACTGTAATTGCCTCCTGTGAGACATGCACCACCACAAAATCTTCCTTTTGCCCCTTAAATTAGGGGGAGAAGGAAAACCTTAAGCTCCCATGTCTTTTGCTGGTTCCCATGGTCTTGGAGATAAAAGAGGAGAAGAAACAAAACAGGAGCCTTCTCATTTGCACGTAGCCCACACTATGCTCTTTGGGGGTGTCAGCCCTATTTTACTTGTACAGGAAGGAGCACAGCCCAGAGCTGAAATAGGAAAATATTACATGTATGCTTATCAAGAAACTATGTTCTCTATTAAGAGAGATGCTTCAGTAAGTGGCAACAGTGGGGAAGAATTTCAGAACATGAAGACCTCTGGCACCAAGTTCATGTTTTGGCCAACTAAGAACAATGTCCTGTCTTATGCAAAGAATACGTTTTCTGTTTCCATGCATATGAATTAAGGCAGACTTCAATAAAAACTAAAATTAGCAAAAGTAAAGGATTGTAAATGTATTTAAAAGCATATATATATCCAATCACCTCTGCTGCTTTTGAAACTAAATGCTATTTGCTGGTCCATCATGTAACGCAGTGAAGTAACAAAATATCCATGTATTCAAACTGTGACTGTCACTGTCGCAGAAACAATTTGTCTTAGACAGCTGAATGCACCTAAGAAACTTTGTTACAAAGTGACGAGTATTTGTGTGCTTATGGTATACTTACACTTCCTCAAGTCTGTTAGTAAAACAAAAATTCTTTAAAGAGAAAGTTGATGCTAATTAGGCCAACTGTGTCAAATTTCATACAGGAAATTTGGAAAATAGAAATACTTTATGTTTCAAAAAACCATAAATTCACATACAAAAATTTTCACTTGAAAGGCATGTATTTTGGTAATTAGTGATTTGATCCAGCCCTTGAAACATTTATCACTTTAATCACTCTGAAATCTAGCTCTATGAATGTATAGAAAATCAGAGTAAATTGTTCAGAAAGTCCGTGAGGAATTTAAAATAAATGTTTAAATAAATCTCTCATTACTGGCATGTGACAAATCCAAGACATATTCAGAATGATGTGCCCAATTAAGTTTAAAAGAATTGCATGAGTTCAGTTCCAGCAGATTCC